AAGTCGGTAGCAAATACGCTTTTTCTTCTTTCTCTCCTTCCCCTTGGTAAAAATTCGTGGGAAAGTTAAGGTAAGAAAGCCGAATGGTCGACAGGGGTTCTCGAGACGTTTAGTTTGGTTCTTAGGGGCCGAGTTGCTTTTTCGCCATTGTTCAAGGTCAACCGCTTTGGCATAACCGTTAAAGGGGACTATCTTAAGAAAAGTAAGAAAGAGCAAGAGAGAAAGATAGATAGACAGGTAGATAGATAGATAGAAAGAGAGAAAGAGAGACAGATAGAGAGAAAAGATCCTCGAATGAAAGGAACTCAAAGAAAGGGAAGGAGGACTCGGTAAGGCGAGAAGACGCACTCTTCCATTACACCCTACCATCGTCCTCTCGAAGTCACTTTACGGGATTTTCAAGGCGGTACAAGACCAAACAGAGTCGACGACTGCGTTTGCAAGATCCTCTCAACCCCTTCGTCGTACTTTACCAACGCGATTTCGGCCAACAAAATGCACGACGGCGTTGCTTATTTCGAATCGGTAGACTGTCTACAAAGTGGCAAGAGAATGAAAAAATGAGAGAGAGAGAGAGAGAGAGAGAGAGAGAGAGAAGGAGGACGGAAGAGAAAAAAAAACCAGGCGAGTGCTAGAGCCGCTCCCCCTTTTAATTGGTGCTCTCGCCTATACGGTGTGCACGCCCGCGTCACAAAAGCGGCGCGTCGAAACGGCAACTTGTAGCGATGGAGATCGCTGTTGAAGGTACCGCATCGACAGACATTACCATTAAACGCTCGGATACATCATAACGCTGACGGAAGGTCGTCTAATTAGAAAGAAATCGCGATGCCAAGGAAGATCCCTGTAAAAGATAGAAAAATAAAGAGAGAGAGAGAGAAAGAGAGAGAGAGAGAGAGAGAGAGAGAGAGAAATAATCAAATTCTTGATCCGTATTCGTATTTTTCTTTCTTTTTCCATTTTTTTTTATATATTCGACGACAATGAAGAAACGATTGAAAGGATTTGAAATTGCTAATTATGCCGCTTTTTAATCAATCACGTTCCTCGTAATTAATGATAATAAGCCAAATGTTAATTTCTAATCTCGAACGATGAATACAAAAGCATGATCCACGTGGCAGTTCCTTAAATACTCTATACAACCCCTTTGAACCCCGAAGAAATGTTGAGGGTTGAAAAAAAACATGACTCCGTTTTCCATCGAGAAAACGCTCATTAAGCTCGTCCTTTGTGTCAACCCCGAAAGAATACAACATCTTGAAGCGTCCAGAGCTTCTTCTTCTTCTTCGTCATCTCTTTTTCTTTCTTTCGTTCGGGCTCTCTTGTTTCGGTTTGGACGGCAAAGCGTCTCGTAATTAGATGCTAATAATCATCACCCTCGCGAAGACTCCTTCTTTCCTTTCTCTCTCTCTCTCTCTCTCTCTCTCTCTCTCTCTTTCTCTCTCTGTTTCTCTTGTTTTCTTTCTCTTCCTCTTTCTCATTTTTCTCCATCTATCTCTCTTTCTCTCTTTTTCTCTATCTCTCTCTCTGTTACTCGCTCTCTCTCGTCGGCGCCCCGTTGCAACGAGGCGCAAGAAAACCCGAGGCTCTGAAGAGCTTATTATTATCCTAATTATACAATACTATAATGAATGACTCCGCAGCTCACCCTCTGGTCCATACTCGCGGTCTTTCTCTCTCGCTCAAGTCACCTCGAGCCCTCCTTCTCGCTCTTTCCTTTCTCTCTCTCTCTCTCTCTCTCTTTCTCTCTCTCTTTCTTTCTCTCTCTTTATCTATCTATCTTTCTCTTCCTCTCTACCTCACGCTCACACTCTTTCTCAGTTCGACGGTTGCTCTTCTTCTCTGCACTTGGTGGTCGAAGAGTGGCAATTCTAGCACTCGGGCTTTTTGTCAAACCGACTACGGAACTAGCGCCGTCTCCCTCACGCTCTTACACCCCATTATGCTACCAGTCTCGTCTCTCGTCCCGTTTTCTCTCTGTCTCCGGGTGTCTGTTTTAATTAGGCACTTCGCGGATATATATATATATATATACATATATATATAGATATATATGTATCTATATATATCTATATCTATATCTATATCTATATCTATATCTATATCATATATATATATATATACATATATATATATATATATATTCACACATGGACATACACACATATACAGTTCCGAAGCTGAGGCAATGCTATACCACGTGGCACATAACTCTAGATGGATACGATACGTTAACCAACAAAGCCGGCAAGCCGAGACTCTGCCTACTATATTTTCCACCTATACTCGGCGATACGACGAGTTTGAATGCACTTGATGGGTGGTTGAATAAGGATTATAGACGCAGGTGACACGTACATCGCCGAGAGGGTGAAGTCGGGGGTGGCGAGCCATCCGATGACGGGTGCCGTCGTCGTTTCGAGAAGGAGAGCGTCGCCGAGAGAAAAAGCGAGAGACTCGGTTCGTAGAGTCACGCTCCTCTTTCAGTTCTCCTCCTCTCGTGCGCAACCTTCTCTTGGCTGACTGCTGATAAGAGCACGCGAAATTGTCTTAATTGGCGGGAGAGCCAATCTGAAGCGATCGAAAGAAGAGTGCTTCTCGTTTATATTCACCTTTTTTCTTCATCCTGCAAATATCAGAGCATACGATATTTCTGTATCTCAAGTTATATAACCATTACTGGTCTTCTTCGATCGATTCATTCGTGTGTTACATTAGATCGATCTATAAATCTTTATATTCTTTAAAGATTTTGAATTTTTCGAAAGAGAAAAAAAAATCATGAAAAATAATAAAAAGAAAAACGCTGGCCTCGATAAATTTCTTTTTATTTACTCGTTGTCTTCGATCGTGTCGCGTCGAAAGCAATCTTAAAAATTGCTCCCAATGGCAAAAACGATGAACGAACGAAGAAGACCAAGGATTCGAGTTGGTATCGTATTGTCGAGCGTATTCACGAAAGAGGAGATGGTAGAAGGTGGTAGGAAAGGGGTAGTAGGGGATGAGTTGAATCGAGTCGTGTCGATGAGTCGCATTTTACAAGACTCGACGGATTCTCGGTGAAGCGTGTTTCTTTCCATTCCCTCGAGAGATCCGAATTGCAAGATCAACCCGACTGCTACTCTTACCGCCATCGTGACGATACTTCCCACGAGAATACGACTTCTCTTTTATGAACTTGAGGAAAAGGTGGAGGTAGAGGAGGAAGCTTCGCGAAAGAATGAAAATGCTTCGTGCAAGTTAACGATGCCGAAGCCTAGTACGCTCTCTTAGAACGTCAAGTCATTCGCTCACTTTTCGTTTCCTCGCTCGACTTATTCCCGAGCAATACGGAAAATGTTCGAATGAAGAAATGACAAGATATATATATATATATATATATATATATATATATATATATATATATATATATATAAAGCCTGGTTTCCTTTTTCTTACTGCAATTCGATCTCTCTACTGAACGATATAGTTATACGTACGGTAGCCTGTGTATAAGGTCATAAAATGCATTTAATCAATTACAATTAAACTTGCAATCATATTGATAATTACATAATTATATTACTAGCTGGTAACGTTTGTTATTTCGTTTGCATAAAAGTTAAAGAATAAAATGAAATTCTCCGTCACGTTCTTTTTTGTAAATGTGCGAAGCAAGTCGGGCTCTTGCGGGCTCTTTGTCCGCGGAAGTAGGCCGGCCCTTAAGAAAACGTCTTTGAAACGATGAAATATTAAAAATATATTCTCGTACGGTTACGCTCGCGTCGCCGCGGATTTTCTAAAGTGCGCATTACAACCCGTGGAAATAATAATGGAGCTCTCGTGCCGCTTAATGAGAAGTACTACATCGTCGTCGTCGTCGTCGTCGTCGTCGTCGTCGTCGTCATCGTCGCCGCCGCCATCGTCATCGTCGTCGTCGTTGTCGTTGTCGTTGTCGTTATCGTCGTTATCGTCGTCGTCATGGTCGTCTCCTCGTCATCCTGGTAGTCGTCAGAAGCAGACAAAATTTCTGATCTTTCGGACAAAGAGGAGAACGAGAGTGTACAAGAGAGTGCTTTCGTCGTAAGCTTCAAAGATAAATTTTCCCTTAGCACCTATCGTTTTAATTTCTTTCTTTCACCACCGGGAGAGAGAGAGTTGCCTGTATGATTACAAAATGAGAAAGAGGGAAATAGAAGGCACCCTTCGCATCCGGACGCGGCATCGCAAGCGACAGAACGCCCAGGTCACTATTACTATACTAATTACCCACCAATTAGTGACTTATGTTTGTTTAACCGAGTTAATTAATGAACGTAAACATTAAACTTGCCGAGCGCTTAATTTTTCTCTTCCACATGAAACCCAACGAACTTGGGAGAAAAGAATGGAGAGCTGCATGTGAGTTTACGAATATATACGTGTGTATGTTGTGCGTCTGTATGCGCGAGAGAAAGAAAGAGGGAGAGAGTATCGTGCCTTCTTGGACGATACGCCGTAACGCGTTCTTAATAGTCTCTTTGAACCGTGTCGCTTGCCAGTCGACGAGGAGCTACGCGCAACGCTTTGCAACTTTTTCCCCTTCTTCCTCTTCCTCCTCTTCCTCGTCCTCCTCCTCCTCCTCCTCCTCGTTTGTCAGCCCATCTTCCACCCTTACCTCCATAGCTTGCGTCAGACTACTTTTAGTATCGATCCTTAATTAATTATCGACGACATATTAGCATACTCTTTACCACGAAAGTCGAAGTTGAACGTCGGCAAGATGATCGTCGCCGAATAGTTCGTACGAACTCGACATAATTTCGATCCTGTTTCTCTTAAACTCTTCCTTCAACATCGACAATTCCTTGCAAATTCATTCAATATTAATCATTTAATCAACCAAGGTATGTTTAATAGTAAGACAGAAACTTCACAAATTCTTACGATCCGTTCTTCATTGGTATCTTTAATTAATTAATAAGTAAGATATATTTGAATTTTAACTCAAATCGATCCTATTTAACTTTTGATTTCAGGGAATTCTATTACATTCAAATGGAGAAGTATGCGAGACAAGCGGTTTCGGAAGGCGTGAAAAACGCCGAAGACCTCCGAGTAGGAGGCGACTCCGAAATCTATCGGGTGCTGAACCTACACTACAACCGTAACAACCACATTGAGGTATGGGAACCCCAGGTGCGCAACACGAACACGCACACGATACATTTTCTTTTCATTTTGTTTATGCCTTTATTTTCGAATACGCGTCAAGTTAAGGAAAAAGAGAGAGAGAGAGACAGAGAGAGAGAGAGAGAGAGAGAGAGAGAGAGAGAGAGAGAGAAGAGAAAACGAAAAACGGATCATCATTCTTTTTATTAAATTTATCATCAATATTGAATTGTCGTTTGTCGAAAAGTTCAGGAAACATATTCTCTTAATTAGACGAAAAATGATCTCGATTTCGTCGATTATCCGATTCTTTATCATAGAAGCTTATCTTTTCATCTTCGATATGATTTAATTATTATAAATAACTAAGTTCCGTCTCCCTTTTACACATTATATATACCCGATATTATAACTATAAAGCGATTATATACTATTATTTCCACGGGTGCTCTGAACCCAGCTATTTTCCGGTCCTTCGATTTCACGCCCGCCTATTTTACGCGAAATTACTCGCATTCGTTAATAATTGAAAGGCGCTAATTAAAATGCGAACCCTTCACCCGGCAAACAGCAGCATAGGCATTCGCGAAATAGCATTAACTTTTATCCTAGACTTCGTACCGATAAAACAATCGGAATTTCTTTTGCTATTGGACAAAAATGAAGAAAAAAAAAAAAAAAGAAAAAGAAAAAGAAAAAGAAAAAAAAAATAACAAAGAAAAAGAAAAAAGAATTATAAGTAACTAAGTAAAAGTTTTTGATTGTTGTTATAAAAATCGATTCACCAATGGTATAAGTGTTTCATTAGAAAGAAAATGGCATTCAAACTATTGATTAGAAATCGTACATCGAAGCCCAATTGCATGTTTCCTGAGTTATTTCGAATTCTTTTTTATATTTCATCAAATCTTACGTAAAAATACGATTGAGCCGAAATGAAAAAAAAAAAAAACTTACTTAGTATTTTGAACGTTTTCAGGTGCCGAGCAACTTCAGGTACGTGGTCGAACAGACGTTAAAGGAATTTTTCAAAGCGATCCAGGGTGGTAAGGACTCTGAGCAAAGCTGGAAGAAATCTATCTATAAGGTGATTTCGAGGCTGGACGACCCTGTACCAGAGTACTTCAAGAGTCCAAACTTCCTGGAGCAGCTTGAATGAATCAGGAGGTCGCGTGGCTCTTGCTCTTCGTGGTGCTCGGGGCCACCGACGCTAGACGGTTCCCAGTAATCAAAAGAACTAAAAGAAAAGGAAGATTGAAAACGGCCGAGATGAAGAGGAAGGATCGCCACCACCAGCAGCGTTGTCGTCATCGCCGTTCGAGGGACACTCGACTCCCTCGCACGTACACGTTCAGGTATCCTAAAATAACATATCGAAAAACGAAGCTGAAATGGCGAGGAGTTAGAACGACGCGTTGTGAGAAAAGAAGGAAGAAGATGAGCGTCGTGAAATCCGTCGAAATCGGGAAATAATATAAAAGCGTACACGGACGAGATCGACCGACGAAGGATCAGGCTGTGACCTAATCGCGATATATCGTAAGATCGTACGAGGGAAATCATTAGGAGAGAATAAACGAAAAAGAACGAATACTTATACAAGAAAAAGTGAGAAAGAGTATTAGTCGATTTACTCGACGAATGACGAGAAACCGCGAGTCAACGATCGAGCACGAACAAAATTTTGAATTTCGATCGTGCTTGAGACTTTCTTTCGTAGGGTCTGTTTGTTAATGTAAAAAAAAAAAAAGGAGATAGAGAGAAACGAAAAAAAATGCATTATTATTACCCGCCTAACTTTTAAGTCTCTGATTCTTTCGAAATCGATGCGACGAATAGGAAGTAAGCCTTCGAGGACGGGACTGTATTCACGGGGAATGGTGAGTTGTTCTCGCCATTATTAAAAGAAAAAAATAAAAATAAAAAAAAAAAAGAAAAGATAAATTAAAGAAAAGAAATCACTGCTATCGAGGATCGATAGATGCGTGGAATACGTGGACGAATATCTCTCGGTGATCTCGAACAACTCGATGGATCATCTTCTGCTTTTCGAGAAATACCGGAAGAGGATCCTTCGACGATTCACCGAGAAACGATCCACGACGAATGGCTCTTTGTTGCCCTTCGTCCTAGATCGTTTCGACGGTGTGTACTAAAAGCAAGAAGAAAGAGAAAAAAGAATAAAAAGAAAACATTAGTAACAAAAAAGAAACTGTGGTCCAAAAATGTCGATCCACGTGGTCCACGCTTTTACGCGATCTTCGGAAAAAATACCTCAAAAATGAAAAATCTTTATCTCGATGTAATGTCGATGGACGGAGAAAATTTTTGTTGTTTCGAAATTTTATCGTATCTTCGTCGTCCCCGGGAGTGCATGCCCGTTCGCGACGCATCATCGAAAAGGGCTAAAGGGGTAAAGGGGTGGCTTCTTTTGGGAACTAGCACGTACTACTTTACTTTGACGTACGAGATGAAACGCAACGCTGAGATATTTCTCTTAGAAAAAAAGAAAAAAAAAAAAGAAAAAAAAAAGAAAAAATTCAGAGAAGAAATGATCACGCGTGCGTGAGATCGACGACGTTATCCTTTAAGCTCTTCGTTCGCGAAGATCGCGCGAGTTCTAGTTGATCTCAACGATCAACGATGACGATCTCTCGATGTTTCTTCGTCAACGAACAAGACCAATTGAATTTAAGTTGTCAACAATCAATGACAAATAAATCGACGTGAAAATGCTTGGCCGGCATAAGAAGAAGTTCATCTTAAGAAACGAGAGATCCAATTTCCTAAGAAATTTCGTTCTTCGCTTCTCGCGCTTCTTGCAATCGTTTGAACGATGCACGAGATTTTATCCCGATTATTAGTTTATATATATATATGTATATGTATATGTGTATATATATATATATATATATATATATATATATATATATGGTAAATATAATAATCGGGTTAGGCTAGTCGCGATAACGAGAGTACGAGTATTAAGAGCAAAGAGAGAAAAAGAGAAAGGGAGAGAGGGACAGAGAGATACAGATAGAGAGAAAGAAAGAGAGAAAGAAAGAGAAAGAGAAAGAGAGAAGCGATCTGACGTGGAAGAAACGAGCGTGCGCCGGCGATGTTGTCCTAAATATAGACGAAACTAAAGCTAATTAATTAATTAATTAAATGATTTTAATAACGCCGGTGCGTGCTAAAATTATATCTAAATATAAAAGTAGAGTTATATTGAACACTTATATAAAAGTATATATGTATATATACTTATATATATATGAAGATGAAGATATATATGTATATGTATACTCATACACATACACATGCATATAAAATAATAGATTTTTAATTCGAGAAAGGAATGCTGGCGCGACTGTTAGCATTTAACGAGTGAGGAGAATGCACGACGAAAGGGTCTCAACTTCTCGCGGACCCCTGTCTGTTCGTTGCACAGGCTGCGTTAAAAATACGAACAACGTCGTTTCTGCGTTCTCGTCGCTGCCTTTTTTTTTCGCAAAAGAAAAACCTGTAGATACGGTACAACGTTAATATTAAAAATATTTCGGGTAGTAGCGAGTCCTGATATAATATAAGCACACTCCCAATCCCTCCTCACCACTTATCCCCCTCACCTTTATTACTGTCGCTATTACATGCACCATTATTATTATTATTATTATTATTATTATTATTATTATTATTATTATTATTATTATTATAGTTACTATTATTATTATTATTATTATTATTATTATTATTATTATTATTATTATTATTATTATTATTATTATTATTATTGTCTTCATTATCATCATACACAGACAGTACGATTATTATTATTATTAATCTTTATCAGTCTATGTACATGAGGATTTTATTAAGACCACGATTATAATAATAATTATTATATTATTATTATTATTATTATTATTATTATTATTATTATTATTAATATTATGATTATCCTCATTATCGCGGTCGATTTAGTTAATTTTAAATTAGGTCCGTTAGTTCGATTCTATGCCAACGGTTCTTAATGTTTTTGTTTCTCGAACTCGATTGCTTATTTCCTCTTTACCTTTAACGCTTCTTCCAAAAAATTGTACATCCCCAATCCTAATATTACGCTGTATCTTTTCACTACACGTTTAGTTATTGCATTATTATTATTATTATTATTATTATTATTATTATTATTATTATTATTATGTTATTATTATTATTATTATTATTATTATTATTATTATTATTATTATTATTATATTATTACTATTATCATTGAAAATTATACCGGTAGCATGTGACGTGCAGTACACAAATACACTTTTTGCAAGCGGTGAGTCTTAACCTAGTCACAAATCAATATTTTTTAATTAATCGACGATCGATTTATTGATTATTTTATTTATTATTCACGACAATAAAACAAAGAAAAAAAAATTGAATTTAATTTGAATTTTAATTTGTCGATTACCAAAATATTTTTCTTTTGCGTTTATTTCTAATATCCTGAGTTTCTTCGAAAAGAGCCGGCCGATAAAAGAAAAAAATTCCTCGCTTCCGAATGTTCCATATAAGTTATTATCGACTGCCAACCCGGCCTACCTTTATGCGAAGTCGACAAAAAATTGGTTCATAAAGATCGACGAAGATGTCATCGAGATTCAACCCAAGGATTTGGAGATTATAGATCGCAAATAAAAAGAAGCTTTTTTTGTGTAAAATGAAAAAGAAAATAAATGTTAATGACGAAAGCGGATCTAGAAACGGTCGAATTAAAAAGGGATAAACGAAAATTTCGATTCGTAAATACTCAACTTTGGCCTAAACTAAGTGGCTACTTATTTTCTCGGCGTTGGCCTAAGATTTTGGTCTAACTATTTATGAATGAAGAAACGTGGGCGCTATTCTTGCTTGATTTTCAGAAATGAAATGAAGTTGTTTGAAATCTTCGATCGACAATTGATTTCGATCTCTTATAAAAGGGTGACTCGATATATCTCGTTGATCGAAAAGAAAAAAGAGATAAAACGACCTTGCTTCGCATATTATTACGACAGTTTCCTTCTCCTTTTTTTCCTATAAAACGGATTCGCAACGCTCTGCCGGCGTAAATAGGAAAAAAAAAAAGAAAAAAAAATGATTCATCGTACAATGATTACGTCTATATGCTTCTACGTTGCACTCGTCTTTCTACGATACTCGAACCTCGTTGAAAAATCGTCCTACAAGAAAAAGAAACCGTAATAAATTTTATTCGCGCGTTATCACATTGGCCTTACGAAATATTTAATCGTTGAACGTATTCATTGAATAATTAATTCTTTTCCCAAGTTATTTAATAAAGATTTGAGCTGCTTTGCACTTTCACGTCGATAAACGTCCATATGATTATCTTATCGTCGATAAGAAATTGACCATTAAACATTTCGGTATCGATATTTATTCTGCAAAAGCCTTGACGTATTTCAGGACAAAGAACATAAAAATATAACGAACAACACTAGCCCCAATTATAATCTTAAAACATTATTTGCAACAACTTGTCGAATTCCACGATACACATATGCACATACACATATAGACACGATCTATTGACTACTTTCTTATTTTATTCAATTAGTACGTACTTGATGAAACCTTGACAATCATAAAAATTTCTCCTAACGATTCCTTTAATAATATTTTTAAATAACGATACAAATAATTTTACGTGGTTCAGACTCGTCAATAAAAAAAAAAAAAAAAAAAAAAAAAGAAAAACAACAAAAATTTAATAATATTTAATATAACCGGATCTCTCTCGTTAATTTTTTTTTTTCTTTTTTTAAACTCGAGAGCTAAAAACGCAAATTGATCTAAATTAAATTAAACTAAAACACTAATTAAATTAAAATAATAACCAAAAATATCTTTGTCCTGATGATATAAAAAATGACAGACCTTAATACTGTAAGATCTTCTTGACTCAATCGAAGAGAAAAAATAATAATAATCATTCAATATGAGAAAACGGGCTTGCTCCTTTTCGCGTGATTCTTCGAGGTGGTCGTCCATCGATCGAGAATCGAGAGAAATTATTTATGAAAAGTGAAAATTTTTAAAAATAATGAAAAGAAAAGAGAGAAAACTCTAAGAGACGGAAACACACAAAGAGAAATGAAGAGAGAGAGAGAGAGAGAGAGAGAGAGGCACCAAACGAATAACAAGTAAAGAAAGAAAGATAGAAAGAAAAAGCCTTTCGCCGAGACGATATCATTCAAGTCTCCCCTTTCGAAGACTCGTTGAAAGGAGAAAGAGAGAGATAGAGATAGAGAGAGAGAGAGAGAGAGAGAGAGAGAGAAACAGAAAGAGAGAAAGAGAGAGAGAGAGAGGGGGGTGAAAGAGAAGGGGACCGTAAACTCTTTGTCATCCGATCGACGCTGTCAATTTTATCGACGAGTTGTCGTCCTTCGATGATCGAGAGTTACGGAAAAAGGACGTAGAAAAGTTCGCGTACTGCGTACGCCACGAGAAAGGGGAAAAAAGCGAAGGAAAATCGTGGAAAAGCAACGATCGGACTCTCTCGACGATTTTACGGATGCGCGACGTCTACTACACCGACACACAGACACATACTCATCTATCTACGAATGGACGATAAAAGGAGACGATAAAGTGAAAAAGATGTGAATAAAGAGATAGAGATCGAACGGCGTGAAGGAACGTTTGTATTTCCTCGGTCGGTGGCGAAAAATTGATATCCATATGTAAATTCTATTAAGAAGAAAATAAATTGAAATATAGGTCGATCGAGACTCGCCGTTAATTAACATTTTTTGACGCGACTGGGCCGAAGCGTGGAGACCGAGCACACGGGACAAGAAGAAACGCGATAATAAACATTATACTGAGAGAAAGAGAAAACGAGTGATAGAGAGAGAAAGAAAGAGAGAAAGAGAAAAAGAGAGAGAGAGAGAGAGAGAGAGAAAGAGAGAAAGAGAGAAAGAAAGGAAGAAAGGAAGAGAAATAGGAAGGAAGGAAATGACAAAGAATAATGTGTAAGAGGCGGAAAGAATAATAAGCATACGTACATACATAAATGCGTAAGTTTTAAGAAGGCGTAAGCAGAACTAAGTAATAGTATCTAACGTTAACACTTGCAAGCTATTAATTATTATATTATCGATTAATTAAAGATATAAAAAAAAAAAAAAACAAACCGAGCGGAAGGTCGTATCACGCTAGGATGAAGAATACCTACTTAAGATTAATGAAAGAAAAAAAAAAAAGACACACACTAATAAACTAATTATTATTGTACGATTATATTATATTATTATTACGAATATGACTATCGAGTTCGAGATTAAGTCGTGATAAAGAAATAAACTGAGAGAAAGGAAGTGAGATAGAAAGAAAGAAATAGATCACAAGAGAACGAACGAACGAACGAACGAACGAACGAACGAACGAACGAACGAACGAATGAACGAACGAATGAGCGAATGTATTAGAGAGGGAAGAAAGATCGAATGTAAGCGAGAGTGAAAGAAAAAGAAACGAGAGAAAGAACGAAGGAGAAAAAAAAGTCGAGTGTTCGTATGAGTGCGAACGAAAGTGAAGAAGTGAATGAGAGAATGAAAGAATGATAGAGCGAGAGACAGCGCGCGCGAAAATTCTTTGTAAGTTCATTGAGAATAATAATTCCTCAAACTATTAGGATCATAATTAGGGTTAACTTAATCGGTGAATGCGCGATAGCGGAAGCGACGAGGCTATATACAGATATGAAAGGGGGGGAGGAAGCGACAGAGAGATGAAACTTTTTCTCCGTAGAATTGCAACGACTCGTTAATCGCGTCTTTCGGGTTTTTTTTTTTCGCGTGTGCGCGCGTGATACACACATTGAGAATTAAAATAAAATTAAAATTAACCAATAATAATAATAATAATAGGAAGATGAAGAACATGCGAATCGAGGAGGGAAAACGCGTGAATGGGACAAGGGTGTCTGCGAGAGAAAAAAAGGATAGTCGAAGAATTAAGAGAGAGAGAAAGAGAGAGAGAGAGAGAGAGAGAGAGAGAGAGAGGGAGAGAGAAAGAGAAAAGGAGAATATATATAATATATATCGCGTGCGTACGCCAAATAAAAAAAAAAAAAAAAAGAAAAAAAGGAGAAAAGAAATAAAAACTAATTGTTAGCACCGAGTGAGCAAAACTTTTCTGTGTGATAATCTCGTAGTACACGTAGCGCGTTAAGTCTACTATACGTTTTCAATAGGAAAACTAAAGGTGTGAAATGGAATTTTTTTTCTTCGGTAAATTCGGGATTGTAAGACGAGCGTGAAGCTTTCGAGTATTCGTTTACCTTCTTTTCTTTTTTTTCTTTTTTTTTCTTTTTTTTTTTTTTTTTTTTGATCATTTTATATTCCGAGAGGCTATGATAAAGGGGAGAATAATTTTTATCGAGATTTTACTCGAAGCATCTCTTCGACGCTTCGACGTAACAACATATCATAATTAATATTGTTATCGCAATTGATTGTTATCGAATGTTTCGTTGCAGATAGAAAGAGGAATTCGTCGATTACTCCGATTCCTCTGTATTATCTTCTAATTAATTAATAATATTATGTATCTTCGATTCGTATTATTCATCCTCGACTTTGGTTCCCAAGGATAAAAGGACGACGATTTTCCGTATAGAAATTCTCACATAAATGATATTTTACAGAATGACGAGTCGCAGTCGATACTCCTGCCTCGTCGACACACTTTCTTTTCGCGTCGATGCCCAACGGTTATACGTTATATGTATTTGATAAGAGAATGAACGAGTAGAAGAAGAAAGAATAATTATTTCTTAGACCGACGATACGTTCGATCAATCCTTCAAATGCTTTGATTTGCAGGCCACCCGACGAGAGGCTGTCGATACTCCAGCTCTCGATTTACCTGCGATCATAGTATATATATATATATATACATATGTATATATACTTCCATATATACATAATGTTAACGAATAATTTACGTGCCTTGGAACCATAGTCGATGCATAATGAATGGATCACGTTTTTCCTCTTAACTCGATATCGGAAGCCTCTCAGGATAGCGACATACTTTGGAAGATTCACGCGAGTAAGCTGAATTGCAGGATTGGACGAGTGGGTGAGAGGGAGGGTGGGATAGGTCGAAGGTTATTTAGGAAGAAAAAGGTGTGCGCAAAAGAGAGAGAGAGAGAGAGAGAGAGAGAGAGAGAGAGAGGAAAAGTGAAAGAATGCGTGTGTGCCGAGGATGAGAGAAATGTAGAAGCATAGAAGGGAGCCAAGTGTCCTTGATGCGACCGTCGTTGAAGCCACGAAATCTCGCGATCTCAACAGGTGATTTTTTTTATTCGAACGGATGATACATTTAAAGAAATGGATATTATATGTATAAAACAAAAAAAAAAAAAGAATGGAAAGAGAAAAGTTGAGAGAGTACGAGGGAAAAAGTCACGACTGATAAGAAATCCGTGTTAATTGTGATTTCGGAACTGAGTTCGGAGCCACGGGCGAGACACGTTCGGCGCAAACCGATCCTATAGAATGAGAAAGAAAGATAGAGAGAGACAGAGAGAGAGAGAGAGAGAGAGAGAGAAAGAGAGTGAGAGAGAGAGAGAGAAAGAAAGAGAGAGTGAAAGAGAGAGAGAGCAAATGGATTAGAGAGAAAGAGAAAATGTGAATGTACGTCATACGTATGCTCGCGTGGTCGAGGAAAAACGAGAGGAAGATGTGAAATTGTGGATGAAAGTGAGTTTAAGTGTTGAGAGGTGAAATTAAGGGAGAAAAAAAGAGAAATCGTAAAAATTATACAGAGAGAGAGAGAGAGAGAGAGAGAGAGCCGGCCTCCTTGACTACCGGGAGGCCCGCGATATATGTATTGTAGAGATCGTCTAGGAAAAAAATGATAAACTAGGATGAAACTTGAAAACTAGGAGAAAATTATTAGGCCAGTTGTGTAAGTATAATAAGATTATCGCGGAGTTCTTACTCCACCCCATCCTTTTCGTGCACGATACTTTTTCGGCAATTCTTTCGGACTTGAGAGAAATTGTATGAATGAGAGAATGATGAATCGTATATGAACGAAATGAAGAACGAACGAAGAAGAGAGAAAGAGAAAGAGAGAAAGAGAGAGAGAGAGAGAGAGAGAGAGAAAGAGAGTAAAAGAGAGAGAGAGAGAAAGAGAGAGAAAGAGAGAGTAAGAGAGAGAGAGAGAGAGAGAGAGAAAAAGATTGGAGAAAATAAATTTTAACTAGAGAAGGAGACACAAAATCGAAGGATCCATCATGGTCCGTTATCCGACTCAGTGGCGCTATCAGGGATAGAAAGGAAGATGCGAATGAGTTAGAATGATAGAGTAAGAAAGAGATAGAAAGAGGAAGAGTCGATTGCACAGAAGCAAGGAAACATATGTGCATATATACGGAATGGCAGATACATAAAGTGTCAGTATATCCATCCATCTATCCAACCCTTCAATCACCTCGAGTAAAATGGCAGGAACGAAAATCATAAAGCACGTATCAGAGCAAGAATGTAGAAAATGTTATCGAAGAGATAAGCCTGGCAAATTCCGTTTGAAAATGGAATTTCTGTCGGGGCTGTTTCAGTCTTCCTTCACCATCATGCTCTAACGTGTTTTTTCTCAATTTTCTTTTTGTTTTATTCTCCTTCCTCAACTAAAGTTCGATAGAAAATAATATAATATTTTAACAAACTGTTCTAGATATGTTCCCATTCGAGCTTTTTCCCGTTAACCCTCCTAAAAAAAAAAAAAAAAAAAGAAAAAAAAAAGAAAAAAAAAGAAAAAAACAATTCAGAACGTTTACTTTTCCAATTTATTCCTTCCGTAATTTCTAATACAATTCTATATTCTATGTTAATAAATAAGATGAAAAAGATAGAATATTATTTATCTATAGAAAGAACGAAAGAGAGAGAGAGAAAGAGAGAGAGAGAAAGAGAGAGAGAGAGAGAGAGAGAGAGAAAATAGGAAGCGAATGCACGCGTGTACCGAGAAGAGCACACACGAGACGAAAAATGTGAATAATGTTAAATGTCGATATTCCTGGAGAGTGTTACTCGCACATAACGTCTCAGCCAGTAGTCGTGTTAGGTTATATACGTATTATCGTTGTAGGGAATTGTAGGTGTATTTAACGAAAGAAGAAAGAACAGAAAAAAAGAGAAAGAGAAGGAGAGAGAGAGAGAAAGTGAAAGAGATAGAGAGAGAGAGAGAGAGAGAGAGAGAAAGAAATAAGGGACAAAAATAATTAAGACACTTATTTAGTGAAGAAATGAAGGAAGCGAGGATGAGCATTAGGCAAGTCAGAAGAAAGAAAACAAGTAAAAACCCTACGTCGATGTGTGAGGATGTGAGCTAGATCGCCGCGTTGAGTCCAATGAAGTCCTCAGTGATATGCAATGGAGACCCTTCGGAATAAAGGAAGAAAGAGCATCCGACCGACAGTCTCGTCGACCATATTCGTCTCTTAGAGAAAATCGAACGACGTCATCGATAAATGACGCGAATAATTAACGATCGATGTGTATATATATTTATACCTATCGGAGCAGTTAGTATATATGAATATATGTATAAGCTCGTATATGTATATTTATATATATACCAATATTATATTCTATAATATACTATATATCAGATGCAGGACATGCACTCGAAGCCCAATCGTTCCTGTTACATTGGCAAACGTAACGATAAACGCTGATTTTTTCCGCTAAACTTCAGAAATCTTTCATTAATAAGAAGCGTTTATAAACCTATCGATGGACGAATTTGACGACTTGCTCGGTCGGCTGGAACGTCTTGTGGGAATTGTTTTTCTGCGCTCCGGTTGGTCGACTTTAGGCCCAAATCTGGAGCACCATTGTGACACTAGCGAGTACATTTTAAAATCCGAAGCTCTGTCTCTTAATATCCATAAAAATCGTCTATCAGAACGATTAAAACAATACATCTTACTATATCCTGATACATTTTATCATCAATTTTCTTTTCCTTCATGATCTACGTGAAAGGAATCGATTAAAACAATTGATATTTAAAAATACACAAGTTTCTTCAATGTTGATTGATTTTTCTGTATATTTAAAAAAATATACTGCTATAGTCATAATAACGACTAAAAATAATCTTTATGAGATTTGAAATATTGGCCAATTAAAAATTGTACTTAATAAATCATTTTCCTCTTACGTGGTATCATGAAACGATTTAAAGCCGGATTCAGTTTTCCAAAAAGATACAGTGACCGATCGACGACATTCCTGTTCTCACACAATTGTCGTCTAAACAAATCCAAATAACGAGACAGAGTCCCGGATATGAAACCTAACTATTTTCATGAATGCATTACGATATTTAACGAGTAAGTATACTTACACATTTATAATACATATATAAAAAAATATATGTATATAATATACTTGTGTATGTATACGCAATATGTATGTATGTATGTATGGATACCACTTTCGACACGACGATTAAGTTGATACGATTTTTCCGGCGTTTTACCCTTTTGTTGGACTTTCGACGAGGTAGAAAAGTTTTACGATTTGTCGATATCTTTGGTTTGCGCGCAAGACGATATACAGTGACGTGAAGGGGATACGAGCCTCGCTCGTATCAAGGAATGAAAGAAATAAAGAAAGAAAGAGAAAGAGAGAGAGAGAAAAGAGAGAGAGAGAGAGAGAGAGAAGAGAGAGAGAAAGAGAGAGAGAGAGAGAGAGAGAGAGAGAAAGAGAAAAAAATTAAATTTTTTGGCAGACAACAAAAAGGCAGCTCTTAGAAAACGAGTTCGTATACCGAACCACACAACAAAAGGAAAGTGCTCAGCAAAAGTAATCGGCGAGCGAACGTCATCAGCCGCGAAGCAGCACACCCACACACACGCGTACATACCTACACTCGACCGAAATACACGCGCACGCACGCACGCACGCAAGCAAGAGTACACGGAGAGTACACACGTACACGTACACGTACACGTACACGAACACGTAGAGACACGCAGTTCTTTCGGCCAGAACCTAAAAGACACATCAAGGAAAAAAGTACAAGTTTATCACGTTGCGCCTTAACGTTAAAATTAAAAGTTGATCAAAAGAGAGGAAAAAAAGTGAAAGCGTATTCTTAACCAAAATCGGCCTTAGTATATACTTTTCCAGGACATGTGAGAGACGCGAGACGGGCGATTTTCCATTTCTTTTCCTCCTATACCATTCTCCTTTCTACCTTATCAACCTTTATGCCAATCTACATTTTCTCGCCCTACGTCTAGATAATATAAAGGAATATATTATATAAATATTATATCTCCACCGGCGGCGGGAAGTTTCGAAACCTCGCAGCTAACTCAGCAAACCACAGAACCATCGAAAAAAAAAAAAAAAAATAGATTTTCCGTTCCCGCCGCGTCAGGTTGGAATTGAAATTTTTGGGATTCGCGTTCACGTTGAAAACAAAAAGAAATCGCCGTGGACGCGTAACCTTCGTTGTCCTTTTCGAACCTTTTCCTATTTCCCAAATCCTTTGCTCTAATAAATATACACTCTTTCCTGTTTTCCCTTAAAAACCGAAAATCGCCCGTCGAGCTTTTCACGTTCCGACATACCCTCACGAATCCCCCTCCTACTACCCCTGCATAATATCCTTTCCAGAACAATAAAGAAAAACGATGGAAAACACACGATTCACCACCCATTCGTAGGAGAGAGACGAGAAACAATCGTCTCTCTCTCGCGTGAAAAAAAAAAAAAGAAAACACTTCCTGCATGTAACTAAGTAAGCGACAACGCGAGTGGACGGGTCACCCGGAAAATAAAAAAAATAAAAAAAGTTACAAAAAAAAAAGAAAAAGATATTAATTAAAGGGATAGGACGTTCGTTACCAAAAAGTAAAGGTATCGGAAAGAAATGAATAGAGTTGATCATCGAGATTAAAATCATAATTGAAGAAAAAGGAGAGAAAGAGAGAGAGAGAGAGAGAGAGAGAGAGGGAGAGAGAGAGTGAGAGAGAGAGAGAGAGAGAGATGGAAAGAAAACATTGGAATGGAAAGGATAATGCGAAAGGGCGGAAAAGGACGACTGTCGACTCGCCGTTCCCCGCGGCCGGGACAAGGAAAAAATTCGCCGAAAATCCGGGAAAATCGAATAGAGCAAATAGCCTGCACGAAAAGACATGCACATTCTATATACCTATACGTGTTATATGTATATGTATATAAAACCGAGGAGGAATCGACCACGTATTATCTCGTCGCGCAGATCCGCGGAATTTTTTTAACATCAGTCGTATTGCGATCGCATCTTTAAAGTAATAAAAGATAGAAAAGAAAAAAAGGTAAAGGAAAGGATAAAAAATAGTGGAGATATGTATGATTGTCGTTATTCGCGTACGTTGCACGTCTTGGGACGCTCCGTTTATACGTGGCCGAATAAACTTAAGAGTTAAAAAATAATAAACTCTGGATTGCTTGTATAAAAAGAAAAAGAAAAAAAAAGAAAAAAAGAAAAAGAAAGAAATAAACGAATAAAAATTTAAAAAGAAAATTTCAAAGACATAAAGAAGATGCAAGAGCGAAATTTTAATTATAGTTTCAACAGATAAGAGACTATTTCTGATTGATGAAAATTATAAAAGTAAAAAATTGGAATTGAAAAATATAAATTTTGAATTTTTCGAGGAAAGAAATAAAAAAGAGAAACTGAAGCGTGTTCGTAGGATCAAAAAGTTTTTGTCTAAAGTTATAAATTAGATAATTATTAAAAAAAAAAAAAAAAAAAGGTAAAAAAAAGAAAAAAAAAAGAAAAAAAGAATAAAATCAAAAGAAAAAAAAATCCAATTTAATTCTATCTTTCATTATTGGTATAACACTCGTCAAAGTTCGGCTACGGTGCATAGAGCTATGTCCCATCGTCGGTGACGTCCGCGCGATCGGGCCAGCTCGTCTAACTCACATAGATATTAATCTAAGTAAATTAGATCGCGATCGTTCAGAGCAGAAATCGAGAGCAGCGTGATGTGACCATCGACGGACGACCGGATGGTGTTTCGGCAGCAATCTTCAATTCGTCATCATCGTTCTTTTCGTTCTTAAACAGACCATAGATGCATTATATTCACTAGAGATACGC